CTAAATTTTCAGTGGTTGAGTTGAGCCAGCCACAAATGCATGCAGCAAACACAAAGGAATTGACTGAAGATGATGATCTTGATTTGATCAATGATCTTGTTAGACACCATTGACTGATCCTGTTAATTAATCTTGTTAGCAGCAATAGCAGATGCAGATCAATAAACCTTTACCAAGCCCAATGCAAGGAACAGATGTTTAAGTATATACTGTGTCAGCTCAAATAGATCAAGTCCAAGGCTTCAACGCGCGCTCTCTCTCTCTCTCTCTCACACACACACACACATTTTCATTTTGAGCCTTGATATGAGGCAGATTCAGATAAGATTCGAACATGTTCAGCTGTTCCCTCTTTTCAGTTTCATGGTGATATATTGCCACAAAGCGAGGTTCTGGATGTAAAGTGAGCAGCCACAGCAGGCCAGCAGCCAATGGAAACAAGTCACTGACCGTGCCGTGTGTGTTCCTCTGAATATTCTGAGACCCTCCTCTCCTCTCCTCTTTTAACCAACCTAAGCAACACTGTTTGTTTACTCCTCCACTCTACTACTGGTCACCTCGTCAAGTTGACGAGTTAACAAAGTCATCATCTCATCTAATCTTGCATCGCCATCTCTGTCTTTCCTCCTCCATGTCCATGGCCCTCAGGCGGCTCCGACCTTGGGCCTTCTCTCTCTTCTTCCTTGTCCTTTTCTCCTACGATGAATCTGGTCTTTGGAGCAGAAGCAGGACTAGGAGTGGAGTCGCGCAGGCCACGCAGAGAGTCTTCCTGTATCCACAGGCTCCCAAGGTCTCCTCCATCGTGAGCAGCAAGTACAGGACTGCCTACCACTTCCAGCCTCCCAAGAACTGGATCAACGGTATTGCTCTGTCTCCCCTCTAGTTTTCACCTGTTGACTTTTGGTCTGTCATGTTGTCGTGTGTCTTCTGATTTGAGGTGCTTTTCTTTTTTTTTAGATAATGGATAAAACAATATCCGGCCTCTACATCCATAGATGTACATAGCCTATTATTACAAAGTTTTGGAGGAAAAAGAGAGAGCCAGTCTTATAGATCGACCCGGACGCTAATTCAAATAGTATAAATGTTTCCATCCTTTATTGGATATCTCTAAATCAATTATTTCCAATTTCTTGCTCATCGTAGAGAGCGCGTCCTTGACTATCTCATCACGCTGCAGCTGGGCCCAAGAGCGTAACTAGTACGCTCCTCTGAAAATTACCTGCATCATAGAGTTAGATCTCATTTGATAAAAAACAACATCATTACGGCATCTCCAAATAGCCCAAAACATGGCAACCACCACCACCCAAATCAAATTTCTAATCCTTTTATTTTGATTAGTTAGCCAATTACCAAACATGTGGCTGATTGATCTTGGTTGGGTCAGACTAGTAGCAAAAAAGATAATCCTCCATATCATTTTGGTAAAGGGACAGTCTAGGAACAAGTGTTGAATAGTTTCATTCCCATTACAGCAGATGCACTTCTGACTCCCCTTCCAATTTTTCCTAGCGAGGTTGTCTTTGGTTAAGACGACACCCCTTTGCAAGAACCAAAGAAAGATTTTAATTTTTAGAGGAATTTTTATCTTCTAGATCTTCCTATGACGAAAAGGTGTTTGTGTATCTTTAAGATAGAGATACATAGAACGGACAGAGAATAACCCAGATTTGGTTAAACTCCATCTGAAGTAATCTGAACCTTCCACCAATTCGACATTTGAGATCCGTGCTACTAAACTAAGCAATTCTGCAAGTTTATTATCCACCAGAGCCCTTCTAAAAGAGATGTTTAGTGGGCTAGTAGTCATCACTTTTGAGACTGTTGCGTGAGGATCCCGCACTATATTATATAAGGATGGATATTTAAATTTCAGAGGCTTATCTCCTACCCATGTGTCGTCCCAAAACCTAGTGTTGGTTCCATCTTTAATATCGAATGAACCATTAACCAGCACCTCATCTTTGATATGCATGAGTCCTCTCCAGAAATGAGAGTCATTGGGTTTGGCTGCCACCTGAGTTAGGCTCTTGGAGCATAAGTATTTATTCCGTAAAAGAGATTGCCATATGCCTTCTGAGTTTAGCAGATTAACCAGCCATTTGGCTAGAAGGCATTTATTTTGCAATTGTAAATTTAGGATACCTAATCCTCCTTGGTCCTTAGGACGGCAAAGGATGTCCCATCTGGCAAGACGATATCGATGTTTATCTGAGTAGCCTTGCCAAAAGAACCTTGATCTATAATGATCTAGGTTTTTAATGACCCCCTTAGGGATCTCAAAGAAGGACATCATAACCATAGGTAGGCTGCTTAAGACTGAATTAAGCAGAACTAGTCTACCCCCATATGACAGGTATTTCGCTTTCCAACAAGAGAGTTTCGTTCAAACGATCTTCCACCTTTCTCCATTCGAAATTCAGGAGTTGTCTATGGTGCATTGGGATCCCTAGATATCTGAAGGATATTCCCTACATTGCATCCAAAGAGACTAGTATAAAAGGATTCCATCTCTTTAGTTTGCACCATAGCGAAGACTTCGCTCTTGTGGAAGTTGATCTTCAGCCCAGATAGCTATTCAAAAGCGCAAAGCAACAGTTTCAGATTCTGTGCTTGTTCTGGGTCGTGATCAATAAAGATAATGGTGTCATCTGCATATTGTAATATGGACAGACCATCGTCTATAAGGTGGGGGACGACACCTCTTATCTGACCATCGGCTTTTGCTCTGTTAATAAGTAGAGCTAGCATATCTGCAACGATGTTGAATAAGATTGGTGACATTGGATCTCCCCGTCTCGAGTCCACGTTTGGTCCGGAAATAGGGTCCTACATCATCATTGACCTTGATTCCCACACTTCCTCCGGTGACCATAGTTTCAACCCATCGACACCATTTGGGGAGAAACCTTTCATTCAATGCGCGTTTGTTGTAGGAAAGGCCACTTCATTTTGTTGTATGCCTTTTCAAAGTCAATCTTGAAAATGACACCGCTCTCTTTTTGGTGTGAAGTTCATAGATGGTTTCGTAAGATAACGACCCTTCCATTATGTTCCTACATCATAAAAAGCGATCTGCGTTGGTCTCACCACGCTTTTAGCTACCATATTAAGCCTATTTGTGCCCACTTTAGTGAATATTTTAAAACTCACGTTAAGAACACAAATTGGCCTGTATTGCTGAATTTTTATGGCATTATTCACTTTTGGGATTAAGGTAATAATACCAAAATTAAGACTGTAGAGATCAAGAGTCTCCCTATGCAGCTCAGCAAATAAGGGTAGAAGATCATCCTTGATCACTCTCCAAAACACCTGATAGAATTCCGCAGGAAAACCATCCGACCCTGGAGCTTTATTACGCTCCATCTGGAAGACCGCCTCCCTCACTTCAGATTCAGTGAACGGGCTGATGAGGATGTCATTTTCCTCCGGGGATACCTGTGGAATATCCAGGTTTTGGTCTTCCCTAAGGGAGATATCGAAATTCTCCAGCTGGCCAAAGAGTTCTTTATAATAAGTCGTAATATGACTTTTGAGATGATCATCACCGATCACAACACCTTGATCATTTTCAAGTTTATAGATATGTTGCTTGCGATGTTTCCCGTTGGCAACTAGATGAAAGAACCGAGTGTTAGCATCCCCTTCCAAGAGGGTTTTAACTTTGGCTCTCTCATACCATTTTAGTTCCTCCTCTCTCAGAAGGTTAACTAAACGTTCTTTTAGATAATGCTTCAGATTAATCTCTTGATTAGATAAGGGAGAGATCTCAGCTTTCTTATCAAGATTCTCTAAAAGAGCTAGCAGAGTCTTTTTTTCTTTTCGATATGACCCTGCAGTGTGTTTTGCCCAGCCCCTTAGATATTGTCGGAGTCTGCGGATCTTGAACTGCCAACGTTCAAGAGGGGTTGACCCAGAGCATGAAGATTGCCAGATATTTGCAACCATATCATAAAATCCATCTCGTATCAACCATCCCCTCTCAAATTTGAAAGGACGATTGTGGGTCTGGTGGGTTGAAGCACCTGTGTTAAGAAATAGGGGAGTATGGTCAGAGATATTCCTATCCCTAGGTTCTACTGTTGTCAATGGGAACATGATTTTCCATTCCGTGCTAACGAGAACTCTATCTAACTTCTCAAAGGTTGGATTATCCCCTGGCCCTGCCCATGTGTATTGACGACCTGCCATTGTAATCTCCTTAAGATCTAGAGATTCAATAATAGCATTAAAAAGATTTGGCCATTTAGGGTCAAAGTCCCCAGAACTTTTATCTTCTGGGCCTCTCATTATGTTGAAATCTCCTCCTAACATATATGGAAGGGTTTCTTTGGAGCACGTGTTGGCGAGTTCTACTAAGAAAGCACTCTTATTCTGTAGTTGTGCTGGTCCATATACCGTATATAGCACAAATTTGAAGTCATTTGATTTGACTCTTAGGGTGAATTTTACATAAAAAAATCTCCCTCAGCAATGGCTCCAATGTCAAAAACATTCAAGTCCACACCTAGAAGGATGCCCCCAGACCTACCGTGGGGTGCCATGGTGTGCCAAAGAAAATCATGTCCCCCACAAAGATTTTTGAGAACATGATCCGGGAACGAGTCCCGTCCTGTTTCGGATAGAGCAATAAAATTAATTTGCTCTTCCTTCACTAATTCAGCCAAAAACCTATGCTTAGCCAAGTCTCCAAGACCTCTGCTATTCCAGAAAACACCCTTCATTTTATAATAATTTTTGAGGGGGTCTTTGGCTTTTTGGGAAGTTTGCCATTAACTGTATTCTTGGCATTATTATATTTTTTCTTCTGTCGGAGTGGAGAGAGATCTATGATTTGATCATTCTCCTCCTCCAGCAAATTCTCATTTAGATTTCCACAGGCGTGGCTGAGAATTGCATCAATTTGGTCATCCCGCTCATCATCACTCTCAAGATTGGAGAGTTTAGATTTAGCAGAACCTTTCTTTGTATTAGCACATAAAACTAACCTGTCTACCTCTAAGTTTTTTATTGTAACTACATCTGAGGTACCTAGGTTGATGCCTACCCTACCAAGGTTTGAAAGGACTTTGGAATCTGGAAAGCTAGTGAAAGAGTTACCTGGGAATTCAAGGTTCTTCTTAGCTGCCAGCCGTTCAGCCTTGTGTAGTGTATGGACGTCCGCCGTTGCCGCATTCCTGGAGCTTCGACGCGGCGCTTTGATGGGCGCTGCCGTAACTGCAGGTGCCATCTCTCCCACTGCCAGGGTAGTAGTGTCCACGGATATGGTCACCTCCTCTGTATAGGTCGCAGTCGGCGTCACAGGTGGTGCGGCTTGCTCTTCAGTTGATGACGAGATGAGGTTGCCAACCGCATGCATCTCCACTGCCCCCGCCAAGGGCGTCGGTGAGGCCGGTGCGTCCTGTGGCAGGGATCCAGCGTCCTCAGATCCCGCTGGGAGGAGATCTGTGCCAGCTTGGGGGGTAGGTGCCGGTGATGGACCCCCCGAGCCAGGTAGTGCCACTGCGTCAACCTCAAGGTCTCCCACTATAGGCAAGGGAGACACGTGCGGGCTGCCTGGGCGACACAGGGCCTCGCCACCCATGATGTCATCGTGGTCCTCAGCAATGGCCGACGCGGGGGAGTGGCTGAGGGTGGCATCACTGCCCTCGCCATCACCCTGCGCGGCCACTAGCAGCTCCGGAGGTGGTGTGGTAGTGTAGGGGAGGAGGCATATGGGTTCGGTTGATGAAGCACCCCCCCCAACAGCCTCGTCCGTCGCGGTGGTAGAGAGCTCCGCGGCCAGTGGATCCACCGTCGGGCTAGGATAGCCCGGCAGTGAGGTACCCAAGGTCGGTGCAGCCACGCTGCACTCCAGCGCGAGAAGGGGGGCAGTAG